TCTACTGTGGTTATCCTGTCCTTTCTCACCATTGTACCTTGGGTGGGCAAGGTAAACTCTTCAGTTCACCATTCTTCATAGTGAGAAGAATCACACCCAAAAAGCCTCATCTGCACCTGTATCTGATTTAGTTACAAGATTCTGGACCTTAAGTCTGGCTAATGCCATACAGGATGATACTTTGAAGGTACTGACCAAGCCTTGTAGTGTACTATGGTTGTTTACTTTCTTGATTTTTCCCCTGAAGTTATTAATTGCCTTTTTGTTGTTGTTATTCATTTTATTTGTATCTACCAACACTTTCCTATCAGCCTTTAGTACAACTGTCTGTAGAGTATGCATAAAGCAAATGTACTTCACAGAGCCTGCTTTTCCAAAGCCTTGCAGTTTCAAATATTGACCTTGCAAAGGACGGAAAATTTTCCCCAGGCTATAGTCTGTTGTAAGATAAAGAATTGTAACACAGCAAGGTTGCTGGCTCAAAGACAGACAGGTTACTGATTGATGTGTAAAGATACTGGGAAATTGCTGTAAGAAGAGAATATTTGCTAAAATCAAGCTTTTGTTAGTGGATCAAGTTAATTGCATTATAGAATGTCACCTTGCTTGTCTTACTGAATGTTACCAGCTTCTATTGTTAAACTTGTTAAACTGTACTTAGAAAAAAAACCCACCTATGTTCTCTTCCTGTAACTTCCTGGTCTGGAGAATAAATGTGGGAAGAGAACCCCAATTCATGGTTAATTTCCCAAATGGAAGGAATGCCTCTCTCTTGAGGGTTCTGAGAGATTAACCCCTTTTCAGCGATTCTCACTGCACAGAAGAGATGGGCTTTGAGTAATCTTTGGCAGCTCCATCACCCAGGGGCAAAGGGGTGACAAATCCGTGGGAGGCAAAGCAACTGTCTACATGGTCAGTCCCATTAGGGAATATATCAAGTCCTTTTGTTGTTGTTGTTCCTTGCTGCATCTCTCCTTGAGGTCCCTGTTTTCCTTCTCTGTGGCTTAGGCACAACTGTCATCCTCGAACATGCCTTTAGCTGTCATCCTTGGGATTGAACTTGCCTTTCTCCTGGTTTGGATTTCCCATGTCCTGGATCTTTTGTCTTCCTTTTTCTCAATTCACATCTTGTTTTGGTGGAGCATATCCTTCAGCAGTCTCACTAAGTTAAAAAGATAGCACAACGGCAGAGGGCATGGTGACAACAGTCTCAGCATTCCTGTCTCCTGAGTCAGTGTTCCAAGGAGGACTGATTTCCCTCTAGACCTGGGCATGGTTGCCATTCTGGAATCTCCCTTCACCATCATCCCAAAGACTCCCTTCACTTCTCTTTTGTGTTCAGTCTCTGTTTTCTCCAGCCCACATCTACTTTCTTGGTTTGCTCCTTTAGTTGAAGAACATCTTTCCTCCAGTCACTTCCCAAGAATAATGCAGGGAAGGAAGGGTGTAAATTTTTGAGAACTTTCATGCATGGAAATATCTTTATTCCACTCTCACACTTGACTGAGAGTGTGGTGGCTATTGCTTCTTCCTAACCATCATCCTTCTCTCCTCGTTTCTAATAACAAAGTCTGTCCTTTGGCCATGTGGGTGACCATGTAACCAGCCTGGGCCAGTCATAGGGCCAGGAGTCCAGCAGGGTCAGCTAATGCCCTCACCTGGGATTGTCCACACTGAATGGGGCAGCAGAGGAGCTCCAGTCCCTTCAGTTTGAATTCCTTGAGGAAGAGACTCCAGCAGGCAGCCACGTTTCCAGCTCAAGGAGTCATCTCAGAGACTGGAGAGTACAGTCACTACTAGAGAGAGGCAGAGGGTCCTGGAGGTAAGGAGGGAGATTGTCTGCACCACCCTGGATCCTGCAGCTCTTGCTTCAACTGGAGTACTGCAGGACAGCCCCAGGAGCCCCCACCACCACCATGGCCATGAACACCCACTGGGTTCCATGAGTCTAAGTTAGCTTCCTGTCACCTGCTTTCAAAAGAAATTCACATGAGGGCCGGCTCATGGCTCACTTGGGAGAGTGTGGTGCTGATAACACCAAGGCCACGGGTTCAGATCCTAATAGGGATGGCCGGTTAGCTCACTTGGGAGAGTGTGGTGCTGACAACACCAAATCAAGGGTTTAGATCCCCTTACCGGTCATCTTTTAGAAAAAAAAATTCACATGACTACAGAACCACTCCCGCTGGTCACTGCTGAACACTCTGCAGCCTTTTCTTTTGGGTGCTGTTGTTGCTGTTGTTTTGAAATTTAAAATTTGTTCATAGTTATTATACTTTCTACAAATCGGCTGGCTGGTACGTGGATCCAAACCTTTGACCTTGGTGTTACAACACTGTGCTCTAATCAAGTGAGCTAACCAGCCAGCATTCTACAGTCTCTAGGTCCCCTTTTTCTCTCTCTCCTTATATATCAAGAATTTTCCATGTTTACTTGATCTGCATGAAAATGTCATTTTTATGAATTCTATTTGGAAGATTTTTATTTTCCATCACCCTACTAGTTTTTGTTTATTTGCTTGCGGGGGAGGTTGTTTGGTTTTGCAAATATAAGTAACCTGGTCACTGACACGTTTGGTCAAATTCTTTTTCTGTATTTAGGATTGGATAGACTTCCAGCAGTGAAGTCAATGAGTCAAAGGAGATAAGTATTCAAAAAGCTGAAGCCACAGACTGACAAGAGGGCTACAAAAGGGCCAGTTCCATGCCCACCTGCTGGCATATGCCCCCCTGCAGGGCCAGTTCCAAGCCCACCTGTTGGCCCATGTCCCCGCAGCCTTGACAAACAGCAATTCCTCCAGTGCCCTGCTCACTCCTTACTGTGGCTTTGATTTGCATTGATTTCATTACTGAGGCTGAACATTTCTCAGCAAGTCTATTAGCCAAATTAGTTTCCTCTTTGGAGACGTGTGTGTTTATCTTTCACTCATTTCATCTTCAGGGTCTTGGTGTTTTCTGATCAATTTGTTGAGTTCTGTAAATAATCACAGTGTCAGTCCTTTGCAATATTTCCCGCAATTATGTCTCCTATTGTTTGCCTTTTTATTTTGTAACCAGTGCTGCTTGTATTTTTTAATGTGTGGACCACAGCTCTTTTCTTTTATCATGTTTGCTATGACTTCTGATCTTAGAAAACTCTCCCCCCTTCCAGAGAGTTGATAAATGTCCAATTCTATTGTTGATTTTTTTTAAAACACAAGAAACCTTCTGGATTCCGATACCCTCTTCGTTTGTGTGGCAGGTGGTGGGTGTGAGGAAGGGAACAGCTCCCAGCTCACCTGCACTCCCAGCCCTGTTCCCAGCCATGGCCCCAGGAGGCTCCAGGTGTCAGGTGCAGCCGGTGCTGCTGTCTCTAATCACTGCAGTGACTGTACCTTGCTCCTCAGGAGTCCAGCTTTCCCTGGCGTCCTCACTTGATTTTTATTGCTTGATTGACTTCAACGCAGAGTCACCCTAGAGGAATTGGCTTGAGGGGAGGGGGCGGGGGAAACAGAAAAAGTACTCAGCCTCCAAGGGTCTGAAACTGCCTCTTAGGTCGGGTGAATTGATTATCAGGTGCCTGAGAAACACTTTCTACAGTTTGCAATTAGACCTTTTGTCCCCTTAAATGACTCTCCATCGTCTGCTTTGTTCACCTCTGTATTCCCTGTACTTGGACCAGTGTTGGGCACCAAATGTGCTCAGAGGATTCCCTTATTGAGTGAATGAATGAATGAATGAACACATGAACCTGCAGTCCTTCCTCTTCCAGGTGCGTGAAGCCCCCTGGGGCAGCCCAGCCCACCTCGGACAGCCCCCACCCGGGAGCTCCAGGGACGCGGGGGGCCGGGGGACGGTGGGGCTGTGGAGGCGGCGGGCCGGCACCTGACAGAGTCCTGACTTGAGGGTGATGCCCCCTCCCCGTCGCAGAAAAGTGAAGTGAGACGCTCCCCCGGGGTGGGGAGGGCCCCGCAGCTGGAGGGGCCCAGGAAAGAAAGCGACAGCGAGGCGCTGCGCCCGGCGGCCACCAGAGGGCAGCACTGAGCCGCCCCGAGCCCGGCCCCGCGGCGGACCCACCGCGCCGGCGGGGAAACCGAGGCAGGGGGCGGGGAGTGACCGCCGGGCCCGACTTTGGCTCTGACGTCAGCTCCGTGCCCCAAATAGCTTCCTCCCAGAGCCGCTTCCGCCGCAGCCGCACGTCCCGAGCCGCCGGCCGCGCCCAGGGACGGTCATCCCGACCCGGCCTTCCCAGAACCAGCTTCCGCCCCGCCCGGCCGGGGCTACCGGGAAGCCCCTCGCCCGGCCCGGGGGAGGAGGGCGCAGCCCCTGGGATGGGGTCAAGCCACGCCCCGCGGGTCCTGGGATGAGCGTTTGGGTGGGGGCTTCCTGGGAGGAGTGTCAGTAGGGGGCTCTGGGGCCAGTTGGGGACCCCCCCACGACACACCATGTCCCCATACTTCCTGCTCTTCTTTGTTCCACAAGCCCCCGACCTTGACTTTCCCCATCAGAGTGTAAGCCCCAGACCAATTCTCTTCGTTGGCTGAAGCCAACACATAGTAGGTGCTTAATAAAAACTGAATGAACAAATGAATGAATCAAATACCGATGACTTCATGGGTGGGCTGCAGTCAGCTCATGTGGGGCCTGTGGTCAGGTGATGGGGTCTGGGGCCGGCTGGGGGGTGTCTGAGGTTGGCTCATGGTGGGGGAACCAAGTCCCCAAGCACCCCAATGGAGCAGGCACACCCTGCCACCAGCAACCTGGAGTGTGTTGAGATGAGGTGTCTGGCCCATGAGGTTTAGGGTGTTCAGGTCCAGGTCACAGAGGAGCCAGAGTTCTTGGGTGCCTCCTTCCTGCTGAAGATCTGGGCAGGCCAGGCTGACAGGTTGGGTGGCATAGCTGGGCTGACACTCACCTCTGGCATAAAACCCCACTTGATGGAGCCCTGCACCTCGCTAGTGCTCAACGAGCTTCCACCACCGCTGATCCCCAAGCTCAGCACCCCCAGCCAGGCCCAATAACATGCAGCAGCCCCAGGCCATGGTGCTGTTCCTGCTGCTGCTGCTGCTGCTGCCGCTGAGGTCCGGTGAGTCCTGGGGTACAGGGAGTTGGTTGCCGCCTCTCCTGCTAGAGACCCCGCTGCCCTGGCTGGAGCTCCAGCTGAGCACCCCACTCCCTGAGCCAGGCCTGGGACTGCAGAGCAGGACCCCCCTCTCCTCCCCAATGGTGGGGTCCCCAGGGCAGGTATGAATTTTCCAGAGGTCTCACCTGGGGGGCCTGAAGTAGGGAAGGCAGGATGGGGGACGTGGGCACAGGCCTGAGAGGCCCCGAGGCCGTGACCTGGCAGGGCCTCCTCCCGCCATTGCTGGGCACACACAGTGCACCCACCTGACTTGGTCTCCAAGCTTCCTCTTCTTCTGGCCTTTCTCTCCCTCTTCCCCAGATGAAGACACTGGGGCTGTGTGGGTGCAGGATTTGAACTTGGGCCCACTGGGCTTCTAATCCCTGAACCACCATTAGCTGGGCCAAGGGAGGGGTGTCTCAGTGGGAGTTGCCACCTGAGCCTGGGGGCCCTGGGAGGCTGGTTGGGGGCTCAGCAGAGATCTGGGGGGCAAGGGGCCCAGGCTGCAGAGGGTTCGGCCCTCCTGCTGACTGAGGAGCAGGGAATATATCTCCGTTCCCTTTCTCCATCCTGGGTCAGGGTCGGCAGTTGCCAGTCAGGGGGGCCCCTCCTGCCAGGCCCCTCCCTGCAGGCGGGCTGCTCTCTGTCAGGGAAACCCTCCCGCATTCCTGGGCCAGCCTGGCCAGCCTGGCAGCCACCACACTTCCCTGTCCTCAAGTCACCTCCCAGGGCCAGGCCGGGTCACCCAAGAAGGCCCCTCAGCCAGGGCTCCAGGCTTCCTCATTCTTGGGAGTAGGAGGGCACCAGGGTGGCACCTCTGTGGCAAGGCCCCAGCTTCCTCCAGCCTTCCCCAGCCCTCACTGGCCTGGCCACCCTTCCCAGCTTTCTGGCACAAGGATAATAGTGTTCTTTGAGTGAGCCCATCTCCACGGGGCATCACGCCTGTGATTGCTCCTGACAGGTTGAGTAATCGAGGTCATTGCCAAAGTGGGAACAGCAGCCTGCGTTTGCTCACAAACAGCCGTGACAGCCTCACCCGCAGCCCGAGGTAGCCCGGCATCCCCCACCAGGCCTCTGGTTCTAGTCCATCCTAGAACCTTAGGCCTCGACCATCCCCACCAGCCACAGGGCCACTGCGGGCTCATCCAGCCCCCAAAGAGCCCAGCTGTCCACATTCCCCTTCCTGATCAGGCCCCGCAGCCTCTCCCATCCCGTCCTTCCACGGATTCCCTGAGCTCAGGCCCCAGACGCATGCTCTGCCTTCATGGAGCTCGTGGGCCCACAGGTGAGATGAGACATCAATTCTAACTCCAGGTGAGGTGGCCAGAGCTCTGTGAGGCCCTCCAGAGCACAGACAGCTCAGGAGAGGGAGCGCAGCTTCTAAAATGGGCAGGGCAAGCAAAGAGGGCTTCCTGGAGGAGGAGGCAGGCCTTGATCTGGGTTAGGACTTGTGGAGACTGGGAGGAAAGGGCATGGGGGGAGAAGAGTGGGAGTAAATGCTCGGAGACTGGAAGGCACAGCCTAAATAAGCAGCAGAGACCTGCATTAGGGACTTGATCGGCACAGGAAGGAGGCATGGCTGAGGGAGCCTCGGGCAGGGAGAGCCAAGCTGAGAGGGAGAGAGCAAGTCACACAGTATGTCAGTGCCAGCGAGGACGGAGGTGGGTGAATCAGAGCAGCATTTTGCAAGCAGAATCGTTGGGCCTGAGAAAGAGCAAGGGGTGAGCTGTTAGAAACCCAGTGGGATTATATTACACCAAGATGGGAATGGCTGGATGGACTGACCCTCCCAGGGGCCTCGTCAATACAAAGTAATGAGCGGATGTCCCTTTACCACTGCCTACCTGGGCTGCCACCACCCAGCCTCCCACTTCTGCCCGCTCCCCAACTCTGGGAAGCAGCAGGCCTGCTCCCCATGCCTGCTCGGCCCCCAGGGCCTGCGCCCACCCATGCCCCTTGCTGCTCCTCCATCCACCCCCACCAGCGTCCTCATTCCCACGAATGGCTTTGGGGAATGTGCCCCTTGGGCTGGGAGTCTGGCAGGAAGAACAAGGGCCCTCTAAAAATCTTTAGGGTCCTGGGCACCCCACGGCCATGCATGACTCAGCCTAGCCGCTGTGGTCCCCGTGGCCCCTTGACTCCATGGGATTGGTTATCTTTTCTGGCTGGAGTGTAGACACAGCTGGTATGCCTCTTGGGCCCCAAAAGGGGTTGGTGCTTAGGGGAAATGCTGAGGGCTGAAGTGGGGAGGGGTTCTGAACCCCCACCCCAGTGCTGATTAGATCTGCCCAGAAGGAACCAAATACACTGGGCAGGGGTGGGGGCAGCCCTCTTCAGAGTGTTGCTGACCCAGGGCTGGGGACTGTTGCCCTGGCTGGGTCTCAAGGCCGGGTAGCTGACCCTGCTTCTGTGTCCAGAGGTGTTGGGGGAACGGGCCCTGGGGAGATGGGTCCCCATTCCTAATGCCCCCAGATGGTCTTATTCCTCCCTTCTCTGCCTGTCTCCTCACCTTGGACATGGCACTGCACAGCCTGCCAGAATGCCTGCAAGAAGGGTCAGCTCTTGGGAATCTGGGATCTTGAGAAGGATGAAATCTCCCTGGTAGCCACTGGGCCAGCATCTTTACTTCCCTGAGAACAGAGGGGGTTGTGACCTCAGGACTGAAGTTAGAAGCAGCTCCGAGGGCAGCTGTTCCAGGGGGAAAGGCAGACCCCACAGTGCCAGGGCTGGAAGCTGGATCCTCCCCCGATGCTTCCAGGCAAGGATGGGTGTGGGGTGTTGAGGGACAGACCCGCACAAGGACAAGAAGAGAGTCCTCCTGCCTGAGCAGGGGAGGTCAGGCCTGGTCCCTTCACTGGCATCTCCCAATGGGCTCCCATTAGGTAAGGACTTTGTCACCCTTGCAGATGAGCTCTGGCCCTCAGGCCTGGGCCTGTAAACATCACAGAGCCAGGCCAGGAGGTGAACTGAAGGTCCCTGGCCTCTCCTGCCAGGTCCCTCAGGAGGCAGGGGGAGGGGCTGCACTGACCAGCAGGGTGGGTGAGTTGGGAGCAGGCCTAGTTGGCTGATCAACCCCTCTTCTCACTTCCAGGGACACAGGGGGCATCCAGAGGTAAGCATCAGGCCCTCAGGTGAGGGACAGGGTCTCATACCAAGTAAGAGTGCACATTCAAGGCACTGGGGGTCCCAGAGTAAGGAGTTGTGGTTGAGTGGAACTGGGGCCCAGAAGGAGAAGGGAGAATTGCCTAACACACACGGAGCAGGGCAGGGCACAAGAGGAGCATGGGCAGGAGAGTGACGGCACAGAACCTGAAGACCACCCTGTGGTGCAACGACACCCCTCTGGGCCACCTACACTGCAGAGGGCAATACACACCAGCCATCATTCTGGGAGCCTCTTTGGGTCAGGCCCTGGGAAAAGACTTTTCCACCTGTTATCTCACCCCCCGTGACCCCCCAAGAGTCACCCTTTCACAGGTGAGGGGAGTGAGGTTTGCGGGGGGTGGGCAGCGTTAGCAGCTGGAGAGGGTCTGCCAGGTCTCCAACTTCCTCGAGGTCCCCAAGCAGGGTAGAGGTGGGAGAGACGGGAATTGTGCAGAAGGTGGAAAGTGGCATGTGGGCCTGGGGGCAGGAGATCCAAGCCAGGGAACCAGCCCCCAGTGAGCCCGCCACCCCCTCGGCATGTTCCCCCAGCCTGTGGGCGCCGGAGGATGCTGAACCGGATGGTGGGCGGGCAGGACGCCCTGGAGGGTGAGTGGCCCTGGCAGGTCAGCATCCAGCGCAACGGAAGCCACTTCTGCGGGGGCAGCCTGGTCGCGGAGCGGTGGGTCCTCACCGCGGCACACTGTTTCCCCAAGTGAGTCAGCCCTGCGCCCCCGCGCCGCCGGGTCAGCACCGCGGACAGCGCCCAGGGGCTACAGGCCCTCACGGTCGCTGCTCCCAGCCCGCGCTCCCCAGGGCTGGTCCTGCCCGTGAGGCACCATAACATGCCCTGAGCGCTGTCCCTGCAGATGCTGGCAGGCTCCTCCCATGGCCTGGTCCCCTCCCCAGTCCCCTCTCCCTCACCTCAAATCCAGGACACTCTTGCCGACTGGGACTCTGGTAACAAAAGCCCAAGGACTGGAGCCGTGTCCGTGCCTAACTCCTCCTCACCCTGCTTAAGGTCACCTATATAATATCTGAGCACAAGGCCAGGTCACCCAGTCCCCACTCCCCTGTTATCAGCCACCAGGCCCACACATTCGAGGTTTCCCAAGTGTCTGCACCCTGCCACACCACAGCTCTGTAATTAAGACCCCACCTGTTAAATTCAGAAACTCAGGCTCAGAAAGAGTTAGGTTCCCTGCCCGAAGCTCACAGGCTGGGCCCCCACTGCACCCCACGAGTGGTCATCTCCTTCAACCGCCACAAACAGCTTTTCACATGGGGACTGTTACTGTCCCCATTTTACAGATGAGGAAACTGAGTCACAGGGAACTTGTTAGGTGACTTGCCCGAGGTCACCAGTGGCGGGGAGTGGAACCCAGGTGGTCTGGCTTCAGCTTCTACACCCTAAAGTGATAGGTTGTAGACCTATCTTTGTAGGCCAAAGAGATGACCTTTTTGAAGATAATGTGCGAAGAGAGGTGTCAGGCACTGTGGTGGGCCAGACAAATAGCCCCGACCCCGCTGAGTCCCCTATGGGAGAGGGGCTGCCCCACACCCGCTCTGTTCTGTCCCACCAGCACCTCAGAAAATTCCCTGTACCGGGTCCTGCTGGGGGCGCGGCAGCTGGTGCAGCCGGGGCCGCATGCCGTGTATGCCCAGGTGAAGCGGGTGGAGAGCAACCCCCTGTACCAGGGCATGGCCTCCAGCGCTGATGTGGCTCTGGTGGAGCTGGAGGCACCGGTGACCTTCACCAATTACATCCTCCCCGTGTGCCTGCCTGACCCCTCTGTCATCTTTGAGACGGGCATGAACTGCTGGATCACTGGCTGGGGCAGCCCCAGTGAGCAAGGTAATGGGGGCAGGGCCAGGAGAGAATGGGGGACATGACCCGAGAAGGTCCGGGACAGCTTGGGGGCCACTCTGAACCAACAATCATTTTCTGCTGATACTGGTACACATGATCTCTACTCAAATCGGTGGGGTGAGGATGGGAAGGGACAGCAGACCGAGAAGGAACAGGCGTGGGATGTGAGAGGAGACAGACAGAGCCCAGCCCGGTGCATGGGAGAAAGGAAGAAACAATTGAATCCCACAAAGCCCCGAGGCAGAAGAGGAGGTCTAAACACAAGGAAAAATGGGGAGGGACAGAGCTGGGGTTCTCAAGAACCCAGGGCCAGGGGGGCCTCAACTGGACGGTCTCCTGAGCTGCAGGCGGCTTCGCCCTTCTCCAGACCGCCTGCCCAACCCGCGGGTCCTGCAGAAACTGGCCGTGCCCATCATCGACACGCCCAGGTGCAACCTGCTCTACAGCAGGGACACCGAATCTGGCTTCCAGCCCAAAACCATCAAAGATGACATGCTCTGTGCTGGCTTCGCAGAGGGCAAGAAGGACGCCTGCAAGGTAGGGCCCATGCAGCCGACCCCGGAGCCCAGCCCTGACCCCCAGGCCCAGGTCAGGGTGGGATGGCACCCCAGCTGCATGGGCTGTGTGTCCAATAGGCTGGGAGACTAGGTTTGAAAAAGCAGATTCCTGGACCCTGCCCCAAGACAGTCAGAGTCGGGGGTGTGGGGGGACCCAGAAAACTGCATTTTCAACACACACATCCCCTGAGCAAATAGAGCAGGTGATGTGGGGACCCTGGTCAGGAAAAGGAAGGACCAGCCACAGAGGGAGGCTGTGCAGGGAGGCTCTGGGCGGAGGGGTGCTGAGAGGGGCCAACCAAGGGACAGGGAGATGGTGACACAACAGGTGTGTGCCCTGCAGAGGCCAGCTCTGGGACTCGGTGCCCCCGGGTGGACCCCAAAGGTGCCTCTGCTTGCCCCGCAGGGTGACTCAGGAGGCCCTCTGGCATGCCTCGTGGGCCAGTCATGGCTGCAGGCTGGGGTGATCAGTTGGGGTGAGGGCTGTGCCCGCCCCAACCGCCCAGGCGTCTACATCCGGGTCACCTCCCACCACAATTGGATCCACCGGGTCATCCCCGAACTGCGGTTCCAGCCAGCGTGGTCGGGCGGCCAGAAGCGAGACACCTGGAGCCAGCAGCCCCTCTGTCGGAACTCTGCACCCCGCCAGGCCGCCTGTACTGCCCTGCTGGGCCTCCTGGTGCTGCTCGCCCTCCTCTGAGCCTGGTGGCTGGCAAGGGGCCAGGCCATGGTGGCATTTGTAAATAGCTCTCCTGTCTCCCTCACCCAGATGCCCAGTTATTTTTATTATATTCACCCTCCAATAAAAACCCAACCTCGTGCAGCTGCCTGGGTGCAAATCCTTGGGGACCAGGGGTGGGGGAAGATGTACAGAGGTCGGTTCCCAGCTAGCAGAAAGGGAGCTGCAACAGGCACCCTGAGGCTCAGACGTCACCGGACACCAAGGCCACAGTGTCCCCCTCACAGAAGGTTGCCCTGCGGCCACCCGAGCCGGTTTCCTCACCCTGAGCGTCTGCTGAGGGCCACCCATGCTGGGCACTGGGGCCAGTGACAGGCCCTGTAGAAAGACCATGGCAGGACAGCCTGTGCCTCAGCAGGAGCTGTCCACAGGGTGGGGGAGAGGAGGGGTGGTGGGGAGATCCTTGAAGAGGGGGAGAGGAAGGGGGAGGTGGGGACTCGCTGGGCTGGAGGACCACAGCCTCCTTCCCCAAGCCCACTCTTGCCCACTGTCTGTGTCCCGGCATCAACAACTCCTCTGGGTAAGGTCAGCAGGAGGAACATGGCAGTTGCGCACTTGGGAGGGTGGCCACACCCTGTGCTTCTCACCACACAAGGAGGCACCCCCAGCCCTGCTGCTCCCGGCCCTTGGTCCCTTCCAGGAGTCCTTGTGCCCCAGGTTCCACCCTTGACTCCGGCTCCTGATCCTCAGCCTTGACCTCCTGACTAAGGATTCCAAAGCAGCACAGGGGAGGGGGAGGGGAACGGGGCGAGGAAGGCTGGACATGCACACACTCGTGTTCACACGCGCACAGGCACAGTCTGCCCTGCAGTGCCAGGAAGAAAGCAGATACTGGGTATTTACGGAAAGAATCAGCAACCACCTAGCAAGCACCTGCAGATGGGGACTAGGTGGGGACCAAACATAAGGAATCCCTCTGGGTTCCACTTTGCCTGGGCATGTCAGTACCATGGGCCAGGAGGGACAGCATCTGGCACAGGCGTAGCCCCACCTCCCTGCTGGCCACTTGGTGGCCTCCTGGACCAGGCCATCTGATGAGCTCTTTCACCAGACCAAGAGTGGGCGATCTGGCCCAGGAGGACTGTGGGAGTCTCAAGGGCAGCCCCGGAGCCAGCTCTGGGCCATCCTGGCCGAACAGGGTTGGCCCTGGGCTCCCAATGCCTGGGAGAGGCCTGGGGGAAACTGCACCCTGCTCTGGGGGGTGCAAAAGCTCCAGGCCCCATGGTGGGACAGAGCAGGGGGAGGTAAGAGTTAGGGGGTCTCTGGAGGAAGGCTCCTCTGTTGCCTCTGTGGTGAGAGGCCAGGACAAAGCCTGACTCCCGGGAGACAGGCACGGACAAGTCTTCGCTCGGTCGGGGAGAACTCACCACCCATCCCTGCCTCCTCTTCCCTATAGTCTCAGCTTTTGGGGTGCCCTGGGGCTCCCACCACCCTCCCTATCCTCCTGCCTCTGTTACAGGGCAGGAGTCTGGTTATGGCCCCACTGGGGCTAACAGGGAAGAAGGGGCAGAGACACTAAGCAGTGCTCACCTGGGAGCTTGCCCAGGACTGGAATGGTGAGTCTAGGGTCCCAGTGGATCCACTGGGCTGCTGAAGGGTGCCCTACTCGAGGCAGTGGACAGTGCGTGACTCTGGGACATGGCTCAGCCACTCCCCAGGCACCCCGAACACCACCCTCACCCGCTGACCTGGCCGGCCCCTGCCCAGCCCCAGGACAGATGCTCAACAGGCACATGTCTGAAGGAGACAGGTGAAAACTCTTTCCACAGAGACGGGGGTTTAGAAGGTTCCTGCAACTTACAGTTGGTACTAAGCCTAGTGTTGTGAGAAGGACATTAGCAGAGACACCCTAGGTGGTCACAGGTGTCCTCTCCCACCCCAGGTGGGCACAGCTCAGACACAGCTTTCCACACATGCACATGCTACACAAGCACATGCCTACCGCACATGCAGCCACACTCATGCACACATGTACACAGGCATAGCATTATGATCAGCCTACAGGAGCCCCAGGAGGGAAAAACCACTGGGCCGGGAGAACTTTTGGCGTCAAGGACCCCGGCGAGGGGTCAGCCACAGGCTGGGCCCCACCCTGAGCGAAGCCCCAGGCCCACAAACCTCTGTGCAGGGGGACGTGGGGGTCTGTGGAAAAAGCAGTCCCTCTTGGTGCCACCACCTAAGGGACCAAGGTGCTCAGAATGTGGGGCAGGTAGTGTAGTGGACCGGATAATGTCCCCCCAAAACTTATTGAAGCTTGAATTGTGTTCCAAAGTTTTGTGTATTAGAAACTTGGCCCCCACTGTGACTGTGAAGAGGGTGGGAAATCCTATTATGGTAATTGAAAGGTGGGGCCTTGAAGAGGTGATTGGATTGTAGGACCGTGCAGTAGTGAATGGATTAAAAATGGTGGTCAGGGGCCGGCCCAGTGGCGCACTGCTGCAGTGCGCCGCTTGGGAGTGTGGCGGCGCTCCCGCCGAGGGTTCGGATCCCACATACAGACCGGTTCCCGCTCGCTGGCTGAGCGAGGTGCGGGTGCGACACCGAGGGTTGCGATCCCGTTGCCGGTCCCGGTCCGGACCGGG